CAATAGAAAAAGACTATAGATTTGTATTCATGAGAACAAGGGAATTCCCTGGACTGAATGCCACGAAATATTCTAAAAGTAGTTCTTTGCATAAACAACAATTATTTACTTTTCATTATAAGTAAAAATTGGAGAGCATAGAATTGGAAATGCATGGCAATTATGCCATTTTCTGAATAGACAGAAGTTTGTCTTATGTGACGTGATAATTCTTTGCCTCTGTTTCATCTCTCGTCTTTATAACATCATATATGATTGCACTCAATATGCAACACTACCACATGTGACTTAGAGACAGGGGTTAAATTTTTTTGTCTTCCTGTCAAAAACATAATTTTCATGATATACATACATATATAATCAACATGCTCATATCCCTCATTTCATATTGACCAGACATTTTTTTTTCTGTAAAATAATAGCCTAATGTTAGGATGTTAGACTACTTCTTCTTAATAATTCCCATACTGGTTCATATTAACTATCATTACTTTCAAAAGGAGACACTATAAGACAACTGTAATTTTTAAAAATCAGGTAGGAAAATAGCAGCAAATTGTAAATAATCAAAATGTACAGTCTGCGACAGATGCAGAGCTGAGAGTTACTCAAAACGTGGTTAACGCAGAGGGCAAAGGGAGAGTGAAAGTAACAATGGACTATGAGATTTCAAAGAACAAGAGAAATGTGTCTCTCCTCCCGTCTAAGGATTTGTAACTTAGAAGATCTCACAGGTTATCGCAGGCCATGCCTAATAAAGCCAAATTTCTTTCCAAGGAGAAAAGGGAAGAAAAATCCTTCCACCTCCCCCACAATCAAATCCTGATAATTCACTTTCTCCTTTTCCAATCCCAGCCTGCACTCCCTCCCTGCAGATTCCCAGGCCATGAATGTGCCTAAAGTAAATGTCCTGATGATAAAGATTAGCCTGACTGGGAGTTCCTAATATCCTACCAGGAGACACTTGGAACTGCTGGGTGACAATGTTATTTTCTTAACTCTAAGTCCTCCTCAATTGAAAGATGGGCATCTTGTTACGAGAGCTGGTCAAGAAAAAAGAAATGCTTCCACAGTAAACGGGGACATTGAGTCTTAGATGCATCAAGGTGGGAAGGAGGCTTAGAATTGTCATCTAAAATCAAGAAACTGTAAAATCCTTATTTCCCACATTTGTCCAAGTTTTTACTCAGTCTACTCAGTGTGCTCAAGGAAACGACCCCCTCCTTCACCAAGATGCTCAAGGTCATTCACAGAGCCTATGTAAGGGCTGGAGGTATGGATCCATGTTAGAACTTGCCTAGCATATTCATTGACCTGGGTTCTGTCCCCAGAAACTCCTCCCCAAAATTAAATTTTAAAACGGACTCAGTTCAACCTTTATTGTCACCTCCCAGGATTTGCATGTGACTACATAGATTCTCCTTCATCTCCACCTGGCTCAGAGGAAGGAGCATGCCCATTCCCGCTTGGGTGCCTCTGGGCCCTGACCTGGGGAATCAGCATGTCCCCTCCTCCTCTCTCGCTGGTTTCTTGCCCTTGACTAAATTCAGCTTGGCTATCCTTTAATTTTAAAAAAGCTACCTCCCTCTCAGGCTACCATTATATCACACTGCTTCCCGTCACTGCCTAGTGCTCCTGAAAGAGTCCTCTATGTTTGCCACCTCCGCTTCCTCACC